GCATCCAGTGAGGATCGAACTCACTTTTCAGTAGTAACTGATCTAGCAAGCCAAGCTTGTTAACCATTACACCACGCCGAGGTGCCCCTAATGATTTTCTAAGCGTAGCTTAGATGTGACACAAGGCCGAAAGTATGGGGCACCCAGTGAGGATTGAACTCACTTTTCAGCAGTAACTGACATAGCAAGACAAGCTTGCTAATCATTACACCACGCCGAGGTGCCTAGACAAATTGTATTTACGAGGAATAGTTAGGACTTCGTAGAGACACTGAGTTATTGTGATGGCCTTAGTAAGAATGGTAAGGGTATTTATCTCGTCTCCCCACCGAGACGTGATGTGACACAAGGTCGGGTTTAATGTGGGGAACCCAAGCGCGTACACCCGGGCCAAGAACAAAAATTCACCAAGCCCTCGCAACCGTCGGTTGCGCTGGCCTTGGTGACTAGCATTGATTCCCCTCTCCAGTGCCACGAGAAGATGCAGCCTCGGGCAGTTGTTCACCGGGGCTGGGGACCTCACAGTATTATTTTACTCAGTTGCCCCTCTGCCCTCCGACGGAGCCACAACTAAGTCGCACTCTGCCTGAGAGATGAAGAAAAAAACCCTACCCAGCATGTGCCAGGTAATTAATCATTTAAACTTCTTTCTCTAAATGCCAAGTTGCTGTTTCAACTTCCAGCTGCTTCGGCTTCAGCCTGCTTCAGCTGAACTGGGCGCCACAGTGAGCACTTCAGCTGAAATAAGTCCCCCATTTAAACAAACATAAAAGAGGAGTTGCTTTTGCTCTATCAAATAACGTAGTGTTAAAGCAAATGACGAAACGCAAAACTCAAAATGAGAAATAGTACTGAAGGTCCTCGGGTTACGTCGGACGCAACGTACGGCGCTGCTCCCATAATATCGTCATGCTGCGTTATATGATGAAGACGGCGTTGTTTCTTCACCGGCTCTACGCCATATTAAATTGTGCTACATTCGTTTGTGTCGTTTTTTTGTGGGGGGGACTTTTTGTCCATCATTATGACTCCCAAGCGTAAAGCAGACTCGTTGGTGCTTATGTAGCTTCCGACGTCGTAAATCAGGTTACGTCGCGCCGTAAAAACGGATCTTCAACATAAGTCGAGAACCCTGTATAGTTCTGTCATTGAATGTTCGAGTCTGGAATTTGGCATACGTTTGTTAAGAGTTCTTTTTCTAAATGCTAAATTGACGTCTTTTTTTTTTTTTTTAATCCAGCATCGTTGACAGAGCATTAAAAGTAGTTGCGTCTGCTCTGTAGTTTTAATGGGCAAAACATGTTTAATGGGCCAAAAAAAAGATAGTTTAATGGGAAAACAGTTTTAATGATTAAAATTTAATGGTACGAAACGAATAGTTTCAATGCATAAAAAACAATTTTAATGGGATACATATAGTTTTAATGATAAAAACCTAATTTGATGGCGCAAAAACTATGGGTAAAAGATTTCATGATAAAAACAAATTTTAATGGTATACAAACACAGGCTTTCAATAGGTAAAAACCGTGGTTTTAATGACAAAAGAAAATTTAATGGTTAATGAAAGCATGTTTTCAATGCGTAAACACAGTTTTAATGATAAAAACATAGTTTTAATGGTAGATATCATTGTTTTATTGATAAAGTTAAAATTGGGATACTGCAATAGAACAAACAGATTTACAATAGATCTTAGTTAAATCCATCGCGGTAGAACTGAATTATGAATATCATGAATTAGATATCAATTCAGCGACAGAAAAATCACAACTGTTTCTAAAATGATTTTTGCTTAAAAATACAGTAAGAAGCCTTAGGAAAATTCGTAAACTTTGCTTCTCTTAGAATAAGTACGTCTCAGCTACTGTAATAGATATAAGGAATGAAAAAAAATAACAGTGAAGAAGAAGAAGAAGAAGAAGAGGAGGAGGAAGAGGCAGGGTGAGGCGACAGATGAGAACGGGGAGAAAGAAAATGCGAAGGCGGTGCAGGTAAAAAGTAAAAGAAAGAAAGTAGAGGAAGGACAAAGAAGAAGAAAAATGGAAGAAGCAAACGAGGAAAGAGAAACATTGAATCGCTTAAGGGAACGGGGAAGGCTAGCAAGGTGTATCGACCTGAAAGAAATAACAGAGGGACGAACAGACAGACTCGCGTGAACAAATCCAGCCAATCAAGCAGGAAGCCCTGAATAATATGTGTACAAGCACTTTCAACAATGAAAAGGACAAAAAGAATAAATCAAGTATTGCATTTAATAATGTATATATATATTTATATATATATAGATGTGTGTGTGCGTGTGTGTTTGTATATATATATATATATATATATGTGTGTGTGTGTGTGTGTGTGTGTGTGTGTGTGTAAAGTTGGATCAATAAGGCCCTGGTCGTCTGACAGTTATCACTTTAAATATTGGTTGCATAAAATAAAATATACATATATAAAATAAATAAAGGTTTTATTGACATATCCCTATCTATTTCTCTATCTTTCTTTTCTTACTTTCTCTCTCTCTCTCTCTCTCTCTCTCTCTCTCTCTATATATATATATATATATATATATATATATATATATATATATATATATATATATATAGTGTGTGTGTGTGTGTGTTATTAGTTTGTTTTTTTTTTGATCACCTGGCAAGCTTTGAATTAGTTTTACCAATCCTTGGCGTTATATATATATATATATATATATATATATATATATATATTAAGAAATATACATAATATCTTAAATTAAATGCACAACTCGAGTTTCATGCCGAAGCAATTTTCAAGTGTTTTATACTATAGACTATTTATATGTATTTGTATACGATCGCTTATTCGTATACTTACTTATATTTAACCATTCATATACTTACTTATATTTACCCATATATATATATATAAGTGAACATTGAAGTCAACACTCAGAGGCGACAGGCTGTTTCATGCTAGACGCAATAAAATTATATTTCTTCATATATATTTCTTCATATATATATATATATATATATATATATATATAGATAGATAGATAGATAGATAGATAAGTACCTCCGCTAATTCTCTAAAAAAGTATACCATGATGAAAAAAATGACCCAATATGAACAAAGTTTAAACGACTAAATATTGCTGTTATTATTAAGAGGAAAAAACAAAGGTTTTCTTTTTAATTATTTAATTATATTTTTCAATTATTTTATTATATTTTTTAATCCCTTTAGAACGTTCAATATTTTGGTAAAAAAATCTTGTTTTTCTTGCGTCAATGTGTGGCCTATAAATATGAAGTGAACAACACATTTTATTGGAAATTCTTGCAGAAATCAAATAATTGCCGGATTTTAATGAAACTTTCAGGACTTATTCACAAATAAATTAAATTATTTTTATGGACGTTTTTTTATAGAAAATCTTGGTAAAAATATTTTTCTACATTACTTAACCCCACACTTTTTTTAATCTTAAGGAATTTTGAGAAATTAAATAATATTAATCTATTAAATATCATAAAGAATAATGCTTATATTAGTTAAAAGCTGAAGTCCTTGGAGAATTTAAATAATCAATTTCTTCTTGTACAACAGACCCGCCAGTTACCAAAACCTGCTCTGAATCGTAAAATAAAACATGCAATAAAACTAAGACATTATTTAATTATTTTAATTACTTTTATAAATAAGATATCCACAGGAAATTATTCACTTAAGAAAACATTTTTTTGCTGAATAATAAATTTTTGCAAGAATTAATTTTAATTTAAAAAAAAATAATTAGAATAATTTATAAAGTTTTAAATCTTTTAAAATTCTGTATTGATTTTTAACGGTTAGGTGATATTGTTATTCAGTAAAAACTATATTTACTAATCATAAATAGAAAAGCTTACTACACTTCATCGACCCCCAATATTTTAAAAAGAACTTGCCGTGTTTTGTAGATATGAATGTTCATATACGACATTATCAGAAAATAAGAGCGATGACTATAGTACATTTAAAGCCAAGGTACCTAAAATTCAATAAAACATTAGATTACGGAAAGTTTTTTCCTTAATTTTCAAGATTGCTGAGTACATAAAAAATATATAGGCATGGTACTTACGTTATATACTTCAAATATTTTTAGACAAACCGTAGTAAAACATTGATTTTAAATCCAACTATCCAAAACGTGCATTGCTCGATAACACCATATAGATCCTCTATACAGGATATGCAAACTTTAGATTCTCTTTTATACTCATCATATTTTTAAGTATTTTCCGTTTTAATATCGCAGTTATATTTCTTTCTTTAACTTCCCATATGTAACTTGATAATGTGGTCCAATTCCTATGTCTGTTTCAATTGACATTTTAGCAATATATTCATTTGAAAATACACTCTCTCTATTCAATATATACTTTGCCATCACTACCTTCACTTTTCACCATTGCTTTATATACCATGTTTTTAACCTAACAATTTCCATGTAAGGGACACAATTCGTTATTTCTACAATTGCAACATCTTTCCTCTTTGTTTTTGCTTTCTTTTTATATCACTTTATTATTATTTTTCCACGTTAGACATGTAGCTATAACTTAGTTTTATTGATTGTTAAAAAAGTTGAATACTTATTTCTATCATGCATACATTAGTTCGTTAATTTTTTAAGTTTTGATACTTATTTTTTTGCCACACACACACACACACACACACACACACACACACACACACATATATATATATATATATATATATATATATATATATATATATATATATATATATATATACTGGTTGATTTGTTTTTACAGCTTATCAACCTTTTTAGATTGTTATAATTTTGGGGAGATTTTACTCATACTAATTAACCCATAGCTGGGGAGAGAAGAGCTGGATTCATACCTTTTTTCCATGGGTATTTTCGCGTAATATAACGAACCCGAATTGAATTGGAACTGGGCTCCCAGATTTTCCGAACAGCTGTCCATTACATCGCCAACATATACAAGCTCACAGAACCTAATATTCCCAAGTTGTCACTCATCTAGGTACAGATCAGGCTCGACGTTGCTTAACTTCTGTAATCTTACGAGAACTGGTGTATCAACTGTATATTCCTGAAAATCAAAACCAAAGAAAAAAACGTAGCAAATTTAGCGGGCCTGTAAGACATAGAAAACAATATCCACAATGCCATTTTTACGCACAAGCAATACTATAATATATCCTGAGCATGCGCACACTTCACCGGAAATAAACACGCTCAGATGAATGATGAGATGTCACACACTTATGTTGAAGATGTTCAATCATTTCTACACTTGACCTCGCCGTGTGATATTTCAGTCAGCCAGCAGATGGAGCCACCCTGAAAACAAAGGACAACGACGATGGATGTGCTTAACGACGTTCTCTGAATTTCAGAGAGGAAGCCCTATCATTATGTCATGAATTATTCATACGACTCTCTTTATCTCTGTTGTTTTTATCACAACGATTCGGTCAAATATCTTCTTCAGCTTTCCTTACACACACAAACACACACATAAATCAGAACAAATGACCAAACCCCACACAATTTATTTATGAATCCATTCTTGGTTGGGTCGAATTTTCAGAAATCCACACACATATACAGAGACATATATATATATATATATATATATATATATATATATATATATATATATATATATATATATATAGAAACAGGCCTGACGGTTGCGTCTATCATGAAACAGCCTGTCGCTTCTGAGTGTTGACGTTAATGTTCACTTTTATATTTACATACGCTCTGTCTCTGATATCTCATAAATGTACCACACCTTAAAGCCATATATATATATATATATATATATATATATATATATAATATTACTGATGATGTGTGCCAAAGCATCCATTAGATGTATTTTATGATATATATATATATATATATATATATATATATATATATATATATATATATGAAAAGACATGGAGGTTCGATTCATGTCGGGGCACACAATTTGTTTTAGTCGGCCTTCACAATTTAGGACTGTTGCTATTAAATTCACTGTCTAATACATTAAATTTGAATAGAAACTCAGGCAAGTACCCTTAAATAATATATATATATATATATATATATATATATATATATATATACTTTTACCCCAAGCAAGGTAACAAAGCCACTAACAAGTCAGGCGGTCTTACTGATTATGAGATAATATGAGAGAGAATAAGAAGAGAGAACAATAAAAGAATAAGAATTAAGATGGCAGAAGATACCGATTGAAAGGATGGAGCCGGAAGAGAGTTCCACAAGTGAGAAGTGCGAGAGAAGAAACTGTTAGCAGAGAACTTACGGTTATATCTAAACGTTTCAATTGTAAAATGATAAGGCCTCTCTGCCAATATATTACTACATTTAAATATATCGTTCTGTTCTCACGCACACATGGCCCCAAGGGAGATATCTGAGACATCCGGGAGAAGCATGGCACGCGGAACTAGAACAATCTACCCCAGTGAGCGAAATAGAAGGTTCAGCTCGAAATTCCAATCAACTGAAGAAGGTCGGAATGGTCGAAACGTCGTGAACATTGCAATAAAAATGAGTTCAACAGTCCAAACAATATATATATATATATTATAAATTAATTGATTTAAAATATGTTTTTTTTCGCTACACAGTTCTAACCATGTTTCAAAAATGGAAGCTAAAAGCCCCGAATTTAATTTTGTAATTAAATTAAAGACATTAGTTCCATTTCATCCTCAAGCGAATTTTGGAGTAACTTTTAAAATTACTGGGTTTTAAAGACACAGCTACAATCATAATTCATGTTTCCAAGGTTACAGATAAATCTATTTTGCTAGACAAATTTTAAATCTATTTTGCTAGACATATTTTAAATCAATTAATTTATAATATTAATGCTCTGTAAATTTACATTGAGCACTATTTTGTAAAAATAAAAATATCTATAAGAACACCGGATTTTATATCTTACTGTTCTTTCTTTTTATTTATATACATTATATATATATATATATGTGTGTGTGTGTGTGTGTGTGTGTATGTGTGTGTGTGTGTGTGTGTGTGTGTGTGTGTGTGTGTGTGTGTGTGTGTGTGTGTGTGTGTGTGTGTGAAAATATATAGAAAATAGGAAAGAAACTCGTTAGGTAAATAATCCAAAGTTCTTTAGTATTTTTGTTATTATTTTTAAAAACAGTGCTCGATACAAAAGTAGAGCCTATTTTTAAATAAATAATTATATATATATATATATATATATATATATATATATATATATATATATATATATATTATCTTTAAGCATTATTTTTACTGGATACTCACAATTGAGTAAACACTCCGTTTATATATATTAAAAGGTATATTTAATTATTATTTTCTTTAATAAAATTTCCCAAATATTCAGGACGACAGAAGAAAATAAATATCCTCCTTACAAAATACGGGTGTCCACTAAAAATAACGTTTAAAGTGATAAAATCTGTCGGATTAATGAATAAAAAATCCATTACTTTAAAAAATTGCTTTGTTTACATTCGGATAGGAAATCTAGATGTGAATTGTCGAGAATCTGGGAAGGTATTCCACTTGCAAGGCACTATTCGGCGTTGCTTGGTCAGCCACATTTTCGTAGCCGAGTTGGTTTAAAATACGTGGCAACTATCGAAGGTTTTTTTCTATAAATGGAGCGTAGGAGGAGAGATCTTCAAAAAGCTATCAAAATACAAGGATTTTGACGTGGAAATCTCAAAAATGAGGTACACGGGGACATCAAGAATTTTTGTTTCAGTTGTTTGAGTCGATCGGAACCATTTCCAATCGATCTGAGGGCTCCAGCCCTCAGATCGATTGGAAATGGTTCCGATCGACTCATTGATATAATTCCTGGTAGCTCATGCCTTACAGAAATACAAAAAATTGTACTTACAATACAGCTCACAAGAGCTTTATCGATGTAAAATGTGTGTAATCTTCGTTTTTGTTTTTTTTTACAAAAAAAAAAATGATCAATGAAAAATGCCATGAAGATATTTCTGGGCTTAGGTCTCTGGTTGGGACCCGGAAGAAAATGTGTATACCACATAAATCCAAGGTAATAATAATAAAATTATCAAGAAATTGTCTAAATACAAGGACCTGGAGATTGAGATTAACAGGATGTGGGGAATGAAGACTGAGACTGTACCAATAGTAATCGGAGCACTGGGCCTCGTGAGAAAAGGAATGGACCTATTTTACTAACAGTGTCCCAGATAGCATCGACATACAATGTTACCCAGATGATCGTCCTACTCGGAACATCTCATATAGTGATTTTCCGTAGCTTGGATGTGGCACAAGGCCGAAAGTATGGGGCACCCAATGAGGATCGAACTCACTACACATTAGTAATTCTTCTAGCGAGACAAGCTTGCTAACCATTACACCGCCTCGAGGTGCCCAAAAATTTTCCAAGCGTAGCTTAGATGTGGCACACGGCCGAAAATATGGGGCACCCAGTGAGGATTGAACTCACTATTAAGTCGTAATTGCTCTAGCGAGACAAGCTAACCACTACACCGCCTCGAGGTGCCCCTCGGAACATCTCATATACTAAGGAAAGTGTTATCAGTTGAATGACAATTCTCCTATAGGGCCTAAGGACCACAGTCTGGACCCGGGCCTACAGGATACAAAGCAGGAAAAGTAACACACAAATAATAATAATAATAATAATAATAATAGAGGGACCCAGAGATCGAGATTAACAGGACATGGAGAATGAAGACTGCGACTGAATCAATAGTAATCAGAGCTCTGGGCCTCGTGAGAAAAGGAATGAATAATTTTACTAACAGTGTCCCTGGTAACATCAACATACAAAGCAGTAAAGTTAACATGCACAAACAGTAATAATAAAATGTGGAAAAATGAGATGACGAAGAAGTAATACTAAAAAAATATTCAATGAATGTGAAATAAAGCGAACAAGAGGAAGATATATATATATATATAAAATGATACGAATGTTAAACAATGAATTTTTGATGAGATTGAAAAATATAATAAAAAAAAACAAAAAAAATACCCAGACCAAAGCTTCCCGTATATAGTGATTCGAAGAACAAAGGCCGATTTTTCAAAGATAATTGCATGTTCAAAAATATCATCGATAGTGTCAAATCAGAAAGAACACAATCAATGTCGAACTAGCACCGACTCGGCAAGAAATGGTTGGGTTTTGGAATAAAATCTGAGTAGATGAGAAAAAAAAAACTTAACTATGATTCGCCACGGATAACGAAGGCACTGAAAATATAGAATTGTAAAAACGGAAAGAAACCTGTGAAGAGAACGTGTTTAAAAAGTCCAACATACTGGAAATCACCTGCAAAAGATGTCAGCTGTATACAACCGCTTTCTAAGATCAATGGTGAAAACAACTTTGAACGAGTGCATCATGAAGATCTTGGCGAAGACATTCCTATTTTGAACATTGTGAATTAGTGCTACAGAATCACAAGCAAAGAACTGTACCAAATAATAGAAACCACATCACTTGAGCATATTCAAGAGCAGCAAAATCTAAAATGGATAGCCTATCTGAGCTTAATGCCCTTATAATCTCGCACAAGAAACTAACATAGTTTTCCATCTTAATTATAAAAGAAAGACAACTAACCTTAGAATGGATAGTCAATGATGAATCTGGAATCTCTAAGAGATGTCAACCTGTCAACATTGTGACAGACTAAGTGAACGCAGATCAGTCAGTTATGTGCCAAGAGTGATACACGCTTAGGCGATCATCTATCTTTCTTTCTGCGGTAGACCTTTTGCCATCCAATGCTACAGAACCCGGTCTGCCTTGCTAATTACACATACATCTAGGGTAGAATGAGAGGATTCATACATTTCCCAAGGGTATTTGCACGTAAGTGAATTTTAGTTATGTGATAAACGCTTAAGCGATCATGTATCTTGTAATACATTACTGACGAGGCAGATTTTTCCCGCAGTAGATTGCTATTTCTTTCTGCGGTAGATCAGTTGCCATCCAAGGCTATAGAACCCGGTCTGTCCTGCTATTTATCCATAGTGAG